ATTTTTCAACTCATTTCTCATGTTTTAATGAATTTATTTCTTGTTATTGTGTGACTCTTCAACTATATTGCAAATATCTTTGGATGCTTTGATATGCATGTTATTGTGCAGGATATAGGCATAAAACATAATGATTAAGACACAAGGGATTGGACAAGGAAGTCGAATAAATGAAGAAGAATCAACAAGTTCGCAGTGTGAACAACAACGAGGTCACAACGAAGTTCAGGCGAGCTGAAAACTTTGGATGGCAGTAGGAAAATGACCCAAAGTTCGTTGTGCAAAGCTGTAACGAAGAAGTTCCCATTGCGAAGAATGAGTTTGCACTGCAAACTTATATATTCTAAGGGTGATTTAACTGTTTCTGAGGCACTTGAATTGCCTAAAAGTGGTCTTCGCAGTGCGAACATGACACTTTTTGTAATAATATTTAAGTACTTTCTCTTGATTTTTAGAACATAGCATATATTTTTAGTATCAGAACTTGATCTCTCTTCATTCCAAACATATTCTAGAGAGAAAAACATAAACCTTGAGAGGGAGAAACAGAAATCGAAGCAACTCGTAGCTTGATTTCCGAGTAAGTGCTTCGATCTCTTATTGGGTTTGGATGTAATCTATTGATACCTTATGTATTTCATCTAATCTATGTATTGTGAACTAGTTTTGATTCAATATTGATGTTGTCTTTGATTTCTTATTTGTGGGTATTGACAAAATCTTTTCAAATCTTAGATCTAAGATATTCATCTATCAATGAGAAAAATTTTGACATAGTCTTGTAAGTTGATATTCACTAGTATCACTTTTATTTTATTGTATTGATTATTAGCATGTGTAACATGAGTAGCGATCAATACGATAAAGACCACGGTAACATTTTTGACACAAACGGTATTGTGAGGATGCGTGATGATAGAGATGAAGAACTATGTTCACTTACATTTGGCAAATTAGTTGAATGCATGTAAAAAGGGTTAATCATATGCATGTATTCTGATCATGGCGTTTTATATGAATCAATTATTTATTTGATATGGATGTTATCCTTGTTTACTTGTTTATACATTGATTTGAATCGCTATAAAAATATACTATTCACATTTGGATCTAGGATGAATATCTGTTAGGTTCTAAACTCTAGACATAGATTTAGGTTTAACATTTGTGTGAGTATTAATTCTTAATGCTCTGTGTTGTTGAGTTGCGTGAGACATCACCAATGAGACAATATAATTGTCCTCTCGACTTTGTGTTAGACATAACCTTAGTTGTGGATGATACGTAAGGATATTAGACGAATGATTGATTTGTGTTTAACTGGTCAGAAGAATGAATGTGTTATCAATTGATGAGCTCCAATCCCAACAAGGCTCCGTTTATTTTAAGTCTTTACTTTACATTTCTCGTATTTATATTTTCAGCTTTTATCTATTGTACCTTAAATCTGTCAAACAATTTATCAACAAGCTTAGGAATGTAGAGACTGTCGAACGACGTTCTTTCCCTCGCACCCATCCCTGTGGAGACGATATAATTCCTAGAGGAAATCCTTCAAAAACTTAATTTTTACTTCTTGCCGCTTTACTGTAGTTCGAACAAAGGTCCAAATGTTTTTTATAGTAATTTTCTTGCTCTCCTTACTCTTACCAATAATTAATGGCGGAGACAGGTGACAAACACTTTATCGTCTATTCCACTATTAGTACTTTATGCGTGTGACCCAGTAGATTCTCGTAGCATTGACAATAATATTAAACCACCTTTAATATTATAAAAATAAGCGGTATCTAGCAACACATCACTGTTATCCAAATGGCGAGAATGTCATGTGATTTGACATAACCTTTCTATGATAATAATCATGTGTACAATTACCTTTTTTCCTTTATATCTATATTGAACACAATGCATAGAATGTGTCACCCTTATATAATCCAATATTATATTCCTTGATTCCATAGTATATTTGATAACAATAAATAAGTTCAATATTTCATATCGATTTATTTAAGCATGACCATGCATTTTACAATCATACTCAATCAAGGGGCCCATAGATATTACTCTTATATATGTAGGAGGGGCAAATCCCATCTAGGTGACTCATGTCCCTCAACATAATTTATAGAGTATCCATCAACCATATATATGATCACCTTATTACGCACAACATTTGATTAACAATAAAGTACTCGAATCCACATCTAGGATCCATAGCGATTTCAAGTTGAATGGTGGTATATATCATTATCACTATGAGAATAACTTATGATACTTACATCACAAACTATATTTTATTCTCATAGTGGGTCAATCCAGTATAAATATTACTCTGAATATTTATATTTATGTGAAGACTTGATATCTCATATCTATGACCCATGAGATACGGTCATCAATCTACTCACAAAATAACCTCTATGCACATTGTTGTCCTATATGACAATAAAACTTGACTACGAATACATTAAGAATAACATCCATATGATTAATTAGGTCTCACGATTAATTCACACTAAATGTATCATTAAACAAACTAATTATTCTAAGGACTATATTATGTCATATACAAGTAAAACAATAAATACAATGCCTGATAAGCGTATATACACATGTTAATGAATATGTACAACCAATATTGATTGACTATTAAGACTTATTCCAAAAAATTCAATGGTTGTGACTGAGGTGACTAATGCCCCCCCACTTTCCATTGTCTTGGGCGAGTGATTCGAAGATCATTACTAGTTTTTCCTCTATCGATCTTATCCCCTTGAGCAAGAGGTGGTTCAAGAATTGACCGACTTTAAGTTTATGTGCTTTCGCACCCTAATATCTCTAGATCTAGGAGACGATAGAGGGATATGCAGGTATCTAGGTGAGTTTATTGCTGAGAAACATCTTTCTTTGAGGTTGTTCCATTCTCTAAATTTTTAGTTTTGATTCTTTTAAAAGAATATTTGCTAACACAAAACCATCAAATTATAAATAGAGTAATGGCAATACAAATTATATTTTCATTTCAGAATAACTAATTGTTAGGAGTCTCACATCGGACAATATATGACATGAACATGTGTTTATAAATGGGGGCAATCCTCACTCTACCAACCGGTTTTGTAGGGTTGAGTTAGACCCAACCACATTTCTTAACATGGTATCAAGAGTCTCGTTTAAGATTCGGTGGGCCACCTTCTATGATTTCCGCTAAAATTCGGTGGGCCACCTTCTATGATTTCCGCTATTGGGTCACCCACTATTTATAAACATGTGTTTATAAATGAGAGCAATCCTCACTCTACCAACCAATTTTATAGGGTTGAGTTTGACTCAACCACATTTCTTAAGACTAATCATTATTTTGAACATTTGCATAAAGTTAATCTGGCAATCATTTAGGATACTATCACTCTCAAGTCACCATATTACTATTCTTGTCAACTTACCAAACATTCTTACTACTGTTATCAATTTACCAAACGTTCTTCGGTTCTCTTCATTATAGCTTTAGAAAAAGTGATTTTTTTTGGGACTTGTGTAAAATATTCATTTGTTTTGTCTTCATTTAGGTGGTCCTTAAGCCAATTTATGCTCTTTATATTTTTAATGTATTGATACAATTCTTTGTTTTAGGTGCAAATTAAATCTCATATCGAAAGAATAAATATTATATTTATAAGAAGGATGATATATATATTGAAAATGTAGTATTTCTCTCTATTTATGGACGTGGATTATTGAGTTTGTTGTTGCCTCCGACTTTCTCATATTCTACAACAAATAGTATTAGAGTTGTGCGAAAGCTAGATCATATTATAATTTAAGTGTTATATTGTCTAAATATATAATACTTAAAATATGTCGTTGCTATACCTAAAGTTTTAAGGTTTGAGGGAAGGTTTGATGTTCCTATGGTCTTGAAACATTGAATATGTTGCTCCTAGCTTCTCAACACCCAAAAGTTTGTCTCGCTCTATCTTGTACTTCTTGTGCCAAACTAGAGGTTTTTTATTTTATTTTTAATATATCTAAGTAATTTGGCTGTTTTAAGAAAGAGTATATAATTTTTCAAAAAGATATATTATAAAAGTAATTTTTATAAAAAGTTTAAATTTATTTTAAATTTAAATTATTTCTTTTTTTAGTCTAGTATCCAAAAAAGTCATAATAAATTGATAGAATACCTGAAATAATATTTTATAAAAAATATTTAAACTATTTTTTAGTTAATTTTTATTTAATAAATTTTAATAAATATTTTAAAAATATATATAATAAAAATCATTTTTAAAAAATTAAAACAAATGAACTCTTTAAAACACTGTAAAAATAAATTAAGGTTTAATAACTACTAGTATAAACAATATAAAAAAAACAATTTTTAAGTCTTAAAGTTCAATTCTATGAAGTCATTCCGAAAACATTAAAAATAAATTTAAAAGTAAACTATCATTTTGGCCCTTTAGCAAAAGAAAAGTAGTTTTGACCCCTCAAAAAGTGGTCTTTGCAACTCTTTTGTAGTCAAAAAGACACCAAATGGTATCTTTAGGGTCATAGAAAATTACCCTTAATCAAAGCCTATAATAAGGGAATTTCCAATTAGAATCTACATGATTTTTATGTCCTCTCTCACCTCTACCTCTATGACTATATTAAATGCTACCCAAATTTCATATGTTACATTACATGCCATTCACATGCATCCCATACCATACCTCTTCTATTCATCAATATGACCCTCTAAATTCTCAGCATTGTCCATTTTTTGTCGGCAAAATGAACATGCAACTCAAGTACACAGTAACTTCAACTGTCGGCAAAACAATAACTCTAAACTCTGTAAAAAAAGATAAATGTAAACCAAGAAGCAAGCATAGTGAACAAATCAGAAAAATATATAAAATTTTAACTATGAATGCTTCTGTTCAAGTAAAAACCAGTATATATTATCATCGTAATCGTAAACTAATGGTATTATTGAATGGCCATAACACTATCTAGTTATCAGAAAATGTATACTTATAATGATCTTCATCTGCAAAACCAATACTAGGATCTCTCCCTCTCCTAATCTCTTCTCTTACCTTCTCAATTCTTTCAAGTATCCCTTTCAATGCTATATCAAATGCATCATCAAAATTATCTAACTTACCTCTAGGATCTGCATAAACAATTTTCGGAATAAGTTTTATAACCTGTTCTCTCATTGCACTCACTTCATTCTCTGGAATTCCCAACAACACTTTTCCAACATCAACGTTCCATTCTTTCACATCCTTCACAGGTATATAAACAGAATATTCACTTCTGTTTTTCGGAAAATGCCACTTGTATTGCGAATAAGCAGTACCAGGATGAAAAAACACAGGAATACAACCGGCTAAAATCGAATCGAAAATCGATCTTCTTGTGTATGAATCACCAGCAGGTTGCAAAGAGAACACAGAATTTTCAAACACTTTCATAACATTAACAGGATCATCACATTTCTCAGAGCTACAATCAATGAACTTACACAAACTCGAACCTCGACACTGTTCTATAATTTTCCCTCGGATAGAATCTTCAAGCTCAGGCCTCGGTGCTCCGGTGAAAGTAAACAAGAATTTCCTCTTTTGATGTCTGATTTTACTCTGCCATTGATAAACATCGTTATCCAACAACGGATGAAACGAAGTCGGATACGGTATCGCATAATCATTATTCCATGAACTACCCTCCACTGCTAACATAGACATATTCATTGATTCAGGTAAAAACCTAAACTTACTCCCCCAATAAGCCAAATCATCAAATTGCCTTCTAAAATCCCAAGAAATTCTACCAGAAACAAGAAAATGATCTCTCCCCCACATTCTCTTCCATTCAGGCCTCTCAACAAGCCATCTCACAAGCTCAAAACCAGAAGAATCTCTGACAGTAAGATTAGCCACCCAAAGAAAACGACTAATATCAAGACCAATATACGACGGAACAAAAACAGCAGAAGCCAAAGCCGAATCATTCGTCAAACATTCATAATTCTTCATCCTATTATGAAAAATAACCTCCAACAAAAACTGGTTAGTCGCATACCAACTGTTTGTTAAAAGAACATCACTAACATTTTCACTTTTAATCTCAGGACCCAAACCCCTGTTGTTCATATAAGGACACATGTTGGGTCTATCGGTTCCTTTGGTGAGAAATTGACAGTTTTGAAGGAGAAACTGGTTGAAACGAGACGGGATGTTTTGGATGAAAACGTAGCGGCCATGGCAGGAATCAGTGTTGTTGATTGAGAAAGTGGCGACAGTGTTGGGAGATTGAAAGGTGTTTGAGTAATGAAAACGGAGAAACAATGAGAATAAGAGAAAGGAAATGAGAAATGCGAACCAGAGTTGGTGATGATTGTTGGAAGTTCGAGAGATGAGAGCAGGGTTCTCCATTGACGTTTACACTTCAGTTCAAAGTGTGTTTGAATCAGTTAGAGAAACCCTTTTATTTTTCAGAGAAATAACATGTAAAATTGTGCTCTTTTTCTTTACCAAATGTAAAATTGTGCGTTTTAAATGTCAGTAAAAATCAAATCTGAAAAATATTCTCTTCAAAGTTATAGAATTTTTTTTTGTTCAAGGTAATTTTCCACTTTAATTCAATACATCTCGCTACATGTCTATTAAATTTATTTTATTTTATTTTATTAGCATGTAATTATAAAAATAAGTTAGCATAATTTAAAAATTAATAAATTTTTTATTTAATCCTTTCCAAAAATAGACATATTTAAATATTTTTCTTTCTTAAAATAACCGTTTCTTTTTAATTTTTAATAAATTTAAATCATCTTTTTTCAACATTACTATCTGATTAATATAATTTTTAAATATTTCTGTATGAATTATATTACAAGAATATTTTAATAAAACTTTTTTTTTTTTTTTTATATTTATAATATAAGAAAAAGGATAGTAAATTAATAGTATAAATTAATTTTACATAATTAACGAATAACGAGTGTAATTTATCAAATCAAATTAAAAAATCTAAATATTTATATAATATAAAAAATATATGATATGAAAAAATTGAATCGAATGAGAGTCGTGCATCTCTATTAAGTCTTTATAAATTGTTATTAAAGTAGATTTATTAGACAAATGAGATACTATTACTTTTAAAGAATTAAATAAAATTTAATGATTTTTTTTATAAATATAGAAATAGTAATTTTTATTTATACCTGGTTCACATTTTATTACTACCGTCTCATAAAAATTGTTGCAATAGATCAATTTACATAAATTAAAAAGTTATAATTGAAAAGGAATACAAAAGATTTAATTAACTAATGATTTATTTTCAATATTATGAATAAAAAAGTAAAATATCTTAATAATATAAGACTGGTGTACATAGTAATTAAAAGTCATAATTGAGTAAAATTTTATTATCATTGCATTAAAAAAAATACAATTATTTTAGAAAAATTAAGTTTTGTAAATGTAACAATTTTTATACTATGAAGGAAGTATATTTTTCTCTCTAGGCTTGACTAAATTATCTGAATCGTGCAGAGCACATTGCACGAGTTTGGTTCAAATCGTATATATTTTATTAAAATTATCGTTAAAATAGATAAAATATATCAACTATATATATAAAAAACAAACTACAAATACTTTTATGAGATTGAAATTATTTAGTTTACACATTTAAAAAAAAATTGTATATAATATTCAATGTCAAATTAATACATCAGCTATCTTGGCTCATCAGTTATTAACAATTTGAAATCTTCTATTAAAGTGACTATTGAAATTGTAATATATAATTGATCATTGGAATTTAATCATAATTTATGAAGAATTTCTATAATATATCACGCAATCACAATGAACAATTGAGAAAGAAAGAAATAAAAAACGTTGGAGAGCAAGATTAAAATTCTGCAGAGTTTCTCTTTGCTCACAAACGGTAGAATTTTATTATCACTTTTCAACTGCAAAACCGTGATTATCAAACTTGATTATTAGAGTGAAAAATGGTTCCTCCCTATTTATAGATTTAGTGCATCTCAAGCTAAAGCCCAAACTACAAAAGTCCAAACATATCTAATCTAATCTTTCTAAACAAATATAATCTTTTAAAACAATGAATTACATATTTAACACACCAACTAATTCATTGTGTCTAAGTTATTTACATTCATCATAGACCTTAACTTCTTGAACACTTCGACTTGCACTGCCTTCGTCATGATGTCTGCAATCTAATTCTCAGTTCTGCAGTGTTTCATGTTCATCTTCTCTTCTGCTACCTGCTCTAGAAGAAAATGGAACCTCATTTCGATGTGCTTGTTTCAACCGTGTGCTATTGGACTCTTCGCTAAGTTGATAGTTGACATGCTGTCGATCTTCATGGTAATTGCTCCATGACTCTTCGTTGTGATCTCTTCGACCAGGTTCACCATCCATGTTACTTGACATGCACAAAGAGAAGCAACTATGTACTCTGCTTCGCATGACGAGTTGACGACAATGGCACTACTGGCTCCTTTCTCGAACTCCAAGCAACTGGTGCACCACTTAACATAAACACATATCCAACTGTAGATTTTTTATCCTCAACATCATTACACCAACTTGAGTCAGTGTATCCCACTAACTTGCATTCTTTTCCTTCATCAACTGCATAAAATGAAATACCGTAGTCGAGAGTTCCTTTCAGATATCTTAGTATCCTCTTTGTCGCTGCTAGGTGCGATACCTTCGGCTTCTGCATGAATCTATTTACCATACCCACATTGTATGCTAAGTCAGGCCTTGTGTGGCAAAGGTATCGTAGTGATCTAATAAGTCTTCTGTATTGGGTTGGGTCGACATCATCTTCATCTGACTGCTTCCTGTTATCAACAGTTCAATGACATAAAGGCATAGTATAAGCAATTCACTATTGTTTCTTCTTACATATGCTTCATGTTCAGTCGTATACTTCACAAATTTCTTCTCCCTTAAGAAGCTGTCGATTTTCTAATTCCAAGCTCTTGGAGCTTACTTAAGTCCATACAAGGCTTTATGCAGCATGTACACCTTTCTTTCTTCGCCTTGTTTCACATACTCAGCTGGTTGTGCGACATAAACTTCTTCATCTAAAGGGCCATTAAAGAATGCATATTTCACATCCATTTGACATGTGTGCCAATTGTTCATGTTTGATAGACCTACAACCAACCTAATTGTTTCTTTCCTAGCAACAGGTGCAAAAACTTCATCGAAGTCGATTCCTTCCTTTTTGAAGAAATCCTTTCGCCACAAGTTTCACCTTGTGTCGAGTTACTTCTCCTTTAGAATTCATCTTCACCTTGTAAACCCATTTCACATCAATTTTCTTCTTTCCTTGAGGAAATTCGACAAGTGACCAGGTGTTGTTGACTTCGATGGAGTGTAACTCCTCATTCATTGCTTTCACCCACTTCAAATCTTTCAATTCCTCAACTACATTGACTGGTTTGACATCTCCATAGAAAGCATAATGTATCAGCTCACCCTCTTCATCAACCACATCATCTGATGTAATCACACATTCTTGAAACCTTGTAGGAATGTGTCTTGTTCGTCGAGGTCTGCTTGGGCCTGCTTCATCTCTGACTTGTTCCTGTCGAACTTCTCTTTCGACTTCAGTGGCTGGTTCTTCACAAGAGATTCTCATTGAGTCCTTCTTGACATTCTCAGTCCAATCTCATTCTTTAAGCTCATCTATGATCATGTCCCTGTTGATCACTACCTGCTTATTCACTGGGTCGAACAACTTGTAACCTCTAGTCAAATGATATCCTATCAAGATCATCTAATTTGACTTGTCATCAAGCTTCTTTCTCGACTGATCTAGCACGTGTCTATATGCTATAGATCCAAAAACCTTCAAGTGACTAAGGCTAGGCTTGACTCCAGACCAACATTCTTCTGGTGTGATTCCTTCAAGTTTCTTCGTCGGGCATCTATTTAATATGTATTTTGTTTTTGAAACTGCTTCTCCCCATAATTCTTTGGGTAGATGCTTTCCATTCAACATACTTCTCACCATGTTCATGATGGTTTTGTTCTTTCTTTCTGCAATTCTATTTTGTTGTGGAGTGTAGGGTGGCATCACCTCATACACAATCCCTTCTTTTTCACACAATGCATCAAACTTTTTCAACACATACTCTCCACCATCATCAGTCCTCAGAATCTTTAGCCTTCGACCACTTTGTCTTTCGATCATAGATTTGAATTTGGCAAATACCTTGATCACTTCACTTTTCTTCTTGATCATGTAAGTCCACAACTTTTGACTGAAATCATCTATGAATGTGAAAAGTATTTATTACCTCAAATTGAATCCACTTGGAATGAACCACATACATCATAGTATATGACTTCCAGAATTGCCTTCGAATTCCTTCCTGCATCCTTGCTGAAGCTATTCTTGTGTTATTTCTACTGAACACACTCTTCACAGACTTCACTTGAAATATCGATTTCAGGTAATCCCAAAACTATATTTCTTCTCTTCAAATATCTGATGTCTTTGAAATTAAGATAGCCAAGTCGATAATGCCATAATTAATTATCTCTGTTGGCTGTAGTTGTAAAGCACTTATGCTCCATCACATTGAGTTCAATCTTGAAGGTCCTATTTTGAGACATTGGAGCCTTCAAGATTAACCTACTACCTGCGTCGAGAACTCTCATCATCTTGTCTTGATCAACACCTTATAGTTCTTTTTGACCAGCTGCCATATACTGGGAAAATTAATCTTCATGCCTGGTATGTACAACTCATTGAAAATTATTGACCTCTTGCCATATTTCCTCATAATCAGACCATCATCAATACCTTCAGCTGCTAGAGTATTGTCATTTGCAAATTTCACCATGTTCTTTATCGAGGGCTTCATGTTGATAAACTAATATTTCCTACCATTCACGTGTGATGAACATCCTAGGTCCAAGTACCATCGATCCCAGAATCTTTCTTCATCTGTAGTTGTGACGATCATCAACACCTCTTCTTCTTCATGTTTCACCAGCTTTGCATAAGTTTCTTGATTCTTCTTCTTTTCTGGACAATCACTAAAGTAGTGACCATACTTCTGAAAATTGAAACACTGAATGTGACTTTTGTCAGGCTTTCGACCAACACCTCTTTCTCTACCTGCAGCACCACCCCTTTGGTTGCCTTGGTTCCAGGGTTTTATCTGATTCGACCAGTTTCCTTCCTGCTTGTTGTAGCCTCATCTACCTTTGTTGCCATTCCAACTTCCTTTTCCTTTCTTTTATTTTTCTGACTGTGACTGCAAAGCCATATCACTCTTCGACTTTCCTGCAGCTCTTTTAGCCATCCTTTGTTCATGAGACTCAAACATCCCTTAAAGTTCTTCCTTCGTCAATAATGACAAGTCTTT